TTCCGCCAAGTTGGCCCACAGCCCGCAGAGCTGAGTAAGGCCCTTGGAGGTTTGGGGGCCCCCCTGACGAGCACTCTCCAGGACCGAGCCCGCTATGCGCGGCACGACGGACCAACCAGGCGGCGCCGGGGCAGGGCCCGCCGGCACATCTGTCGGCGGCGGCGGCGGCTTCCCGAACGTCAAAACTTTCAAACCGCGCAGCTGCTCGAAGAAGGTGATGGAGCAGGGGAGATTTGGCGACAGCGGATGGAGCAGGGGAGATTTGGCGACAGCGGCGCGTGCTCATCAGCGCCGACGTCCCTGATCCCCTTCGAAAGGTCGGCCGGAACCACGCAGTAATCGTGTGCCCGGGATCCCGCCGAAGATAAGCATGTCCCCTTTCGAAGAAGAAACGAGCTGGCCCCCGAGCTCCTCCACGTACAGGCATTCCCCAAGAGTGCCTGGCTCCATGTTGAAATCACCACCTATTACGAACGACGCAAGGGACGCACTCGCAGCAGCACCCACCTTGGACAGAATACGCAAGTTGTCATCACTGAGCTCCTGACAATTATGCAAATACACACTCATAACCAAAATCGGATTTGACTGCCCAACGTGGACCCAAGCTGCGATGGCGCGATGCTGCTGGACACAGGCACCACCTTGCGGCTCGTACAAGCCAACGAAGCTCCTTGCCATCACCGCCACACCAGCCGAGGTACCACCATCTTCAGTCTCCTTAGAGTCCAAGAAAAGTCCTTTCCAACCGTGCCTTAGTAGCCGGGATTGCGCTTGTGCTACCTTATCGCCTACAAGGTCATGCTCTTGCATCAACGCGATGTGCGACCGAGTTTGCAACAACCAGTCCTGGGCCGAAGACCAGGCTGTACAGTTACACGTGCAGACCTCAAGTCGAAGCGTATCCAATCCAGGGGCCTGGGATGTATCAAAAAAACCAAACTGCGAAAGCTGCTAACATTGCCCATTTGTCAGACTAAACCGACGGGAGGGGCGGAAGATGCCAGACGGCACGAGGGGCCATAAGCAAGGCGGGGCGCAGGCGACAAGCCAAGCGCGTCCTTAATCATGCTTCCACGTCCCGCGGCCGCTGGGCCGCTGTCAGAACTCAGCAGCGAATTAAACTATGATGGAAGATCGGCGATAGAGCAAGCCAGACGGTTCACAATCTGGGCTCGATCGAGCTCGCTGCCAGGGGGGCGAGGAGAGAACGCGGAGGGAGCAGACAGGGGCGCCGCGTCCATTCCCCTCCCCAGTCCTGGCGGCACCGTGCCGCTCAAAAAGTTAAGCAGAGGGAGAGCCCCCCTGCCTCCCAGACCGCCGGACTCAGCAGGCAGCGACAGAAGCAGGGGGGACGGCCTCGCTGCGTTGGCCCAGTGCTGCATCAGCACGGGCCCGTACATCAGCTCCTCCTCCAGCGTCTGCTCCAGCAGCGGGTGCATCACCAGCAGCCTCGAGGGCAGCGGCGCCGGGGAGGTTAGAAGTCAAACTGGCGCCGCCAGGGGCACCTGCAGAAGCAGCTTCAGCGCCTCCACCGGCATGAACTTCGCCACCATCGCCCTTGCGCTTCTTGCCAAGGCGCAGCAACTGTTTGGTCTGCTCCTCGCGGAACTCCGCCGCTTTGCCAGCAGCATCCGCGAAGAGCTTAGTGCAGACCTCCTGAATCTGATCATTGAGCTGCTTGCGCCGAGACTCCATTTCATCCTTGTCGGACTGCTTGATCTCGTGCACGGCCTCATCGAACTGGAATAGGGAATCCACCGAGACCAGGTCGAGCACTTCGACCTTGCCCTGCAGAAGGTCCTGGACGTCCAGCTTGGCAGGCTGAGGCGGTGCGCTAGCAGGCTGGGCCATGCCCGCTGCGAGCTCCTGCGCCAGCGACTTGTGCTGCTCATCCGCCGCCTTGAGGCTGTCGCGCGCCTCGGCTGCCTTGGCCTTCTGCCGAGAGACCTGCTCCCCCACCCGAGTGAGCTTGTCCAGCTCCACGCCCAGCTTCCGCTCCCAGTACTGCACCGAGGAGTGAGCCTTGGCC